TCAGTATTTGTCCAGTGGATAAAGTGCCACTCCACGTGCATCACAAGAGCCTCACCCTCGTCCAACCATGCCATTTCGGCGCGCAGCAACTTCTTCGTAACATTTGCTGTACTAAATGGTTAACGTGCCACTCCACGTGCTTCACAAGGGTCTCGACCACTAAGCATCGACCCTTGGCCAATCATGCCACTCTCGGCATGCGGCGATTGCTCCAATACTTGAGCAGCGTTCAGTGGGCCTCGCTGGGAACCCTATTCCAAAACACCTTTAGTGTATGACAACTCGGATACTCCGATATTCAGCACATTGAACGCTCCGGTTTAGTGCTCGTGCCAATGGCGCTTCAGCTTCCTAGCAGTGATGGGTTCATGACTCACCAAACCTCCACTAGGACACGTCCGCGTGTCGCCCAAGGCCTTCGACTTCCAATCAATTCATGATTCATTGTGCTCCAACTATGCTATACCAAGGATAAGGTCACACCTTGCATCCAAGTCTAAGACAAGACATCATTCCACGCTATCAAAGTCAAGGAACATGACACCGATGTCCACAGGGACTCTCGACACAGTGACACAAGTCGCCGTCGCTAAGTGAACAGTGACGGTGTCACTCACCCGCGCTTCCAGCATTTGAACACGGAGCTTGTATGCAACCCGGGCTTGCTGGTCGTAAAAGCAAACGTGAAGGGCTTTCATAAGCCAAGGAAAATCCCTTTCGATTCTGGTGCATCGGGCAATTTTGCTCGACGCTCCACGATCGAAGGTTGGCAGCTGTATGCTAGGGCAAGGAGCTCGTTGGAACAGGGCCCTGCTGCCCTCTACCTCTTTGAGGCTCTACAAAACTCAGTTCTCCCCCAGTAGGACACCCCGCACCTACTGGGGGGCTTCTCGTTTTCCCGCGTCAACCAGACTGGTAAGAAGCAGGACGTCGGTTCGACGAGCCTTTACGCACCTTGCACAAGGGACAATCCGTCCGAAGATGATGAGTGTATCCACAGACAAAACGCCGTCGAATGTTTACACGCTGCCCAGTAGCTCGGAGCCCCCTCCTATTTCTCAGCATAGCTGAGATCCATCGGCCCAGGCCCGCTCGAGGAGCTCTGAGGGTGTGCATTTCAACCAAGTCGTGCCAACTTGAAGTTATTTTCGGCATTTAATGCCACGTTCACCGCTTCTTAAAAAAAGACGGATGCACTCGAAAGACTTCCATGTTGACCACGCCAGTGCGAAGGACCTTCATAAAGACGGTCACTGCGACCGCCTCGAGGAGAGGATATGCTACTATCCCGGCAATCAATAAGATCTATCAACTCCTGGACAAAGTCCACCAACCCCTTCTTGCCCTGTCGGGCAGCAAGGAAACACGATCTCGCGCGATATGCCAAATTAGGCGGCGAGAACGATCACAGAAGCTGACGCTTCAGATTCTTCCAGGAGGAAACCGCTGCATCAATCAAAGCACAGCACGTTAGTGTTCATTCTCGCACCCGGCTGCCGAGCTTGGAGAAAGCTAGCTCGCGTGCTGTTACTCATTTGGAGCATGACGGATGTCATAGTCATCTCGGTCTCCATATCTCGAAAAGTAGATTCTCTCCGTCCTTACCCTCGAAGGTCTAAAGGCTCACCATGAGCGGCATAGACGCAGTGGACGCTGACAGCTTCTGCTGTAAGTGCTCTAACAGAGCATTTTATAACTTGAAAACGATTTCAGGCGCGCGCTTATGGCCTCAGGTCCTTGCGCAACGAGTTGCTCCACCCACTCAGGGCCCAGCAGGGACATCAGCTTAACAAGCTTGTCATGCATGCCCTAAGGCAAATAGAAGTATTTCTCCATCCTCACAGAAGATCAGTTGTAACGACTGAGGCGTAGACTCACTACGAGCTCTACCAAGTGCAGCAGAGCTGTCGTAGCTCTTTGCTTAGAGAAAGCTAAGCTAAGATCACTGACCCTACGTACTTTCCAAGAACCAGTATTAGTTTAGTGGCTTGCGATCCGCTTCTTTTGAGTACTAAAGCCGTACCAAGGCATTCGAACAATTCTGTTTAAGAACGAAACTGTATGTAATTGTTTTTGTTGCGGCAGAGTCGCCAATATCTCAACCCTATTTTTTCATGATTGATATAGTAATACCTAATTAGTATTGTAATACGCATTATTACTGGCAATCCTGCCATGTGGTAGCTTCTTGTTACGGTGTAATCACACCATTGTGTGTTTACACTAACTGTTTGATACGCACCTATGTACGGTCGCACAATCTTGTGCAACTCGCTCTTCCTTACTAAAGTACGTGTAATCTTTACACCGTCCTGCAGGACATCAGGAGCGTGCTGAGCGCACGAAGTGGGTTGTCGAGTCTGAAAGATCCCTAGGATGCGTACTATCCTGTGGTGCAAAATTCAAGACGTCGTCTCCAAAGACCCGCCGTCGGTCCTACCTCCGGACCAAAGTGTGCGTCCCTGATTCCGGGAACCAACTACTGCGTAACACGCCAGTGGTTCCTGTCCGAGAAGCTGTGTGACTTCATTTTCGACTTTTTCCGTGCAAAGCACGACGCAGGAGTGGGTTGTGAGAGCAAGTCTACCCATTCGACAACCACGTTTTTGTTCGGAAGCCGCACGGCAAGTGACGTATCGTTAATGCTCACAATAAGCTCAACGCTACCACCATTCCGGCACAGACGCCGATTTCTAGGAAGGATGTCTCCAGAACAATATGGTTGGCTGTACAAATGACAGAGCACTTTACTTGGTCGATGGGTATTTTTAATTGCTCATAAGAGCCCGTGATGTTCCATCGACAACAGTGAGTACTCCGAGCGGCATGCTCTGGTAGAGGTTGGTGATGACTCGAGGGCTGTCAGATGCACTAGCAATATTTAATAGTCTTGTGACGCAATTGTTCAGGCGCCACTGGGCGTATGCACAGACAAACTTCGAGAACATCTTCGTTCACAGTCGTGCAGAGAGCGGGAGGACGGATGAAGCGAAACATATCTTCAATTTAAAAGCGGTGATTGAGTGCATGCCCACTAATAAGCTGTATGCTAATACAGACAAGTGCATCTTCGGCATTGGGAAGCGTGGTCTTCGAGCGATCCTGCTGAGGTAAAGACCACTGTAAACTGGCCGGTTCAAAAGAGCTAAAAGGACTTGCGCAGGTGGCTTGGCCTCGCCAACTACGTTCACAAGTACATCGAGAACTTTGCAGAAATGGCACGGCCATAGTCGAATCTCGTTAAGAAGGATAAAGAATGGTGTCGAAACACCGAGCATTGGGAGGCTTTTGATGTGGTCAAAGCCAGCCTCCTTCGTGCACCAACCATGGCATTGCCAGATCCCAACCGCCCTTTTAGTGTCGTCTGTGACGCTTCGGACTTTGCCATCGGTTGTGCACTGCTGCAAGCAGACG